CCGTTTTGGGATGCGGCACGCATTCTACTTCATCGTAGTGGCGTTTGAATGCGATGTGGCCTATACAATGACTTGCGGGGCCAGCCGATGTACAAGTCAGTGTTTTTATCCTCCCAGACAAGTCTGGTACCAATTAACCGACCCCGGAGGGATGGAAGGCTTGGTTGGCCCTTCTAGAGAACAGCTATCAAAAATGCTCTCAAAACTATTCCAAATACCTATTCTTGGATTAGGATAGAAAATTGCTGCGATTGCTCTTACTCTAGATTCTTACATGCTTAGTGTAATTCCCTTCTGTTTGCGTCAACAGCCTAACTTGGATTTGATATTTTTGTACTACATAGCAAAATAATGTTTGCATAAGATGTTGTTCCACATTCTCCTTGCATCCATAAAGGGATAATATTGAGAACCTCATCAATGTTGTCGTAACTATTACATGAAATATCGAAGGGTATCCGTTCTGTGTGAGCCGTTTTTACGCTTTTATGCTGCTTTCATACTTTGCACAGTTGTGGACGTTGCGGATAGTGCGTACGCTGCAGACACTGCGGACACTGCGTAGTGTCAACACGCGCGCGCACTGGCGCATAACGCGTACTTAGCGAACAATAGGTGCCTTTCGATCGATCAATCTCAGTTCCATTCCATTTTGCATATTTTTAGGTGTTCTATGTACTCATTCTATTCAGCATATTTTTAGGTGCTTTTTGTGCCGTATTGCTCTCGCTTGTGTTTTCTGGCGCGAACTTTTTCCTTTTTGCTTGAAGTCGTTGTAAGCGGTTGGCGTCGTGCGTGTGAAAGTGGCGGTAAGCTCCCAAGTGAGTGTAGGAGTGCGCCAGAACAATATTTCATTTGCAAAAGAAAAAGCCTTGAGCTAGAAATAATGCGGGAACAACGCGGCACGTAAAGCACCCAAAAGTATACTGAATGTGATGAAATTGAAATTGATCAATACTGCTGTGCGCGGAATATGCATCATGCGTCAGCGCGTATTGGCGCTCCTTGCGGGGATGCGAGACAAGAGTCCCCCTGAGGTCGCCGCGCAAGCGAAAGTAGGTCACCGCACGCGGCGGCTATCTACCATATCCAGCTTGAAACGCATCAAGTTGCTAGGACTAAGCTGAAACAAATGCAGGAATGGGGCCTACACAGAGGGAACAGGAAAGCGTTGTATCGATCGTCTGGAGAGGGGTCCTGAACTCGGCAAATTGCAGAAACACCGGCGACGTCGCGCGCGGTGACCTAGTTTTGGCGCGGCGGTCGCGGGGGACTCTTGACCGTCTCCCCTCCTTGCGGTGTCCGCACTGTCCGCACGTCCGCAACGTGCGCAACGGCGCAATGTGTGACAACACTCTTGTTAAGAACTTTAGGGGCTTCTTCTCCCCGAATCGCCAGTTCTGGGAGTTCTTGTAGCCGATGTCTACTGTGTTTGATGCACTGAAAGAGTCAATCGGGTCGCCGCCTGCTAACAATGGCGGTCTACCTCACTGTCGCGTCTGCGAACGTGGTTATGACGGCTCTCAACATTTTGGCGTCGAGGTAACACGGTCTAATGTCAAAAATATCTGACTTTGCATAGGTCAATTGGTCATTATGACAAAGTGCTTGTGACAGAGCGGCGCAGTGGGTACGTACTACACATGAACGACAGCATCTGTCACACATTTCTCCGAAATATGCCGACTTAGAAAGGCTTAGCGCGTAACCTTACAATGAGAAAGAATGCGAAACCTGCTCGACAACGCTCTGGGGAGTAAGGCTTCCGACTGATGCTGATGTTGCCACAGCATTACTACAGACATAGCAGAAAAAATGTCTGGGCTGGATACTTAGAGCAAGAGCGAAGGGATGGAGGACTGAGAGTATCAGAAGCTGACAGCGGATTATATGCGTTGACTCGGCATGCACGTGGCGCCTCGCGTAACCAAACCAGCAAATCTTGCAGCGCCGCTGAAGCAGTCGGACGCAGAACGGCGGGCAGGGGCCGATGTTGCAGCCGCTGCCTTACACTGATTCTCATGTCAAATCCAACATAAGTGGCTAGGCATAATTCCTGCTTGTAGAAGCTTCCAGCCTAGCCACGCGGGTCTTCTTGTGAGTCGTAGTCCGGCTCTTCACTCAGATTTATTCCAACAGGCGAACAGCGATACAGCATGACACAAAGCTAACAGGCTGCGTCTTCACACTGATTATATACCAAGGAGGATATATATAGGATAGATCCGATACGATGATAAGCTATGCAAGAAAAACATAAAGCTTTTTCCCTACGAACAACATTCTTTTGCTACGATCATTTTTCAATGACAGATACAGAGATTTCAACGACATTTTTCTATGACAAACGTTAATGAACTATTAGAAAGTATGGATGAACTAACAAATATAAGGACAACGATAACAAAGGGAATAGAGAAATATGACATTAGTTCTCTATACTCCGCCACGAGAGGTGCTCGGTCGAGGTGACTGGTCACGATGAGCTCCGTGTTGCCGTTCCTTTTGTTCGTAGCTCTTGCGCATGCGTTCCTTTGTCTTGTCGATCTTACGCAGGAGCTCGCTTTCTTCTTCTCGACTGCGACGTCTACTTTCTTTCAACTCGCGGAGCTTGTCCAAACTCTTCGGGTCTCTTTCGCTCTTCTTCCAAGCATCGTCGATCTTGTAGTTGGCCGATGCTATTTCATGACGAACTACGGTAAGCTTCTTCTGGAACACACGGAGTTCATCCTCCAGTTTCTTCGAATCGTTCGGTCTTTCTTCTTTTCTTCCACGTCTCACACGCTCTTCATTTGGGCTGACTGCCAACGCTCCTTCGCTCGACTCTGCAGGTTTTTCTTCCTTCTTCGGCTCTTCTGATCTCGTCGACGCTTTGATCAAGGTCAGTATTTCGGGAATAGAGTCCACTCTTCTTTCGATTCTATTTTGCCTCATAGTCAGGCTCTCCATTGCATTTTTAATTTCGGCCTCAAGAAGGATCATCCTGGAGGTCAATGCACGTATGTCGTTCAGCAGCGGTTGAAGAGCCCATTTTTTGATTTCGTTGCGAAGGTTGCGAATCTCCTGTTCCAGTTCATCTACATGCACGTTGATCACCGTCTTTGCGCTCTCGACTTGTTCTTCGATCTTCACTGCCATCTTCTTGAGCTTCTTGCGGACGAACTGTACTGTAGCTACCGAATCACCGCTGGTGAAATCCATCTTTCTTCTCTTAGGAGGCACGGCTTCTTCAGGTGGCTTGATTTGGAGCTTCGGCTGAATCTTCGAGACGGCACGAGTCTTCATGAGCATATGACCGGCAGAACTACTGTCGAAGAAATGGCAAGGCTTCCTTCTCTTCAAAAGGCGGGGTAATCGGAGATCTATTGAACTGATAGGCTACTGAAAGCTGAACTTATGCACTATGCTACGGTATTGATCGAGAGTGAGCGCAGCCTTGTTGTTCTTTTTTTCCTCAAAGAGTCTTCTTCTCTCTGCCTCGCGTCGCCCAAACGGAGGGAAGGGGAAAAGCTCTTAAGATGACCAAGAATAGACTTCCTACGTTCCGTATCACGACAGATCCGATGTGGAACAGGACGGAAATCGCTCTTGGGCCACAAGACCAGAGGCACGAGTATGCCAAAATTATTGCGATTAGCAAGAATCCTCCGGCAAGCGCAAGCGACTTGTACCAGTGCAACATGACGTCGAAAATGTGGTAAAAGTCCGGAAATATGATCTCGTCATACATTTTACTCTCTCCTGCGAGGATTCTGAGCGCCGACCCTTGTATTGTTCTTGTCCACTGCAGAATGCCTGTTATTTCAAATGACGTTGCTACAGATCCGCATGTTACTGCGCATTGTTTATAGACTCTTGCTGTGGTATGACTGAACTGCAGCGTTGACTGGGCTCCTTCTTGTTTACATGGCACGGTGAAATACAGTTCCGCGCACTGAATTGTAGCCATTGTAGGAGGTCCATTTGTCGTACATGAAATATGGACTTCGGCGCCTTGCGGACAATAATAGCAACCTTTTGCGATGGAATTCTCCACTTTGCAGATGGATTCTGACACAACAGAAACCGTTTTTTCGAATTCCTCTCTGAGATGGATCAAAATTTCTGCTGTTGTGGACGTCGGTATGATGGCCGTAACCGAATTTTCTTTCGCTTGTGTGAACGATATCCATGGACGTCGAACAGGAAGTCGGTTTTCAATTACTTTCTCGAAGACATCAGCGATGTTGACCTCTGCGCAAATACATCGAACGGTGTTCTCCGCTGGTTGGCAACTGCAGTGCGGGTGAACTGAACAGTTAAGTGATAGCGCAGCAGCTTTCGAGTCACATCGCAGTGAAGGTTTCTCGTTTTTGTTCCATAATGCGATATCTTTGCCATCCGAGATGAAGGTGGAGGACAATGTAGGCGTAGGTGGGATCACGATGGAACTTAAAGTGAACCTCATTTTGCCTACGAGTGTGGGAACTGTTGGTAGCAGCGAAATCATCGTTTGATGTTGTGTCTTCTGAGGTTGTCTGAAAGACGACATCCATAACAAGACCTTTTCCTTCCACTGTGCGCACTTGAAGAGTTCATACACTTTGTCATTTTTCGGCACGTGGTATATTCTGTAGAAAGGCATCCGCTGCTTGGGTAAAAGCACCCGCAACCAGGTCCTCCGCAACTTTCGACACAGTACGTTACTCCTGGATATCGATTGCTTTTTCCCAGTTCGGGTATCAACGATGACTCATTAACATCTGCGCATTTTCCTCCGTTGCAGGATCCCATCGTGTCACAGCGTTTTGAAGTCCATGACATGCTGTTCTGAGTCCCTCGTGAAGACCAGAATTTCCTTTTCGCATTCGAGATGCAGACCTTTCCAGGTAATTCGTATTTCGTTCACAACGGATTTGTTGTTGATCAAACGGATGCATGCTTCCTGTTGGAAACTGTTGATTTTCAAAATTTCCGTTGTTTCGAGGTGCAGATCTTCTTTCCTTGAGGTGAAATAGAACAGACTGTTGTTGGTTGTGAAAACACGTCCACATTTTGACAGCCATGCGTCATTGTAATTGTGAGTGCTATGGCTGCGATCAGTGGTGCTCTAAGAAGAGCCTCGACGTCACGGTATCTATTCTGTTGTTGTCTCCTTTGGATCACTCGCCACGCGCAGTACTGCCAAATTTTTTTCACGAGGCGGACCACTATGAGCGCGATGGCGTGTAATCCGCTGCATATGAGTCTGCATGGTTTTCCTAACACAATTGGCACATAGCAAAGCGTGTAAAGGATGGCCACAAAAAGGTACAGAACAACTGCTGAGGCGGCAATGGCCGATTGTGGTGAACATTCTGGGTTGAAAATGTTAGCCGTACAGATCCAGCAGCGTATGTTCTCACAGAAAGGATGAGGACGGACAGGTGGCATCCAAGATCATCAGTTGACTCCCGTCATAAAGTTTCCACTGCACGTGGTATTCGTGTAAGCGTAACCTCGGGTGGGAAGACAACATTCTCCTGTTCAGGTGGATTTTCATTAACGTGGCAGTGACTGTCCGCGCAAATCTCATACCGTTGTATTGACGATGAGGATAGCTGGACTCCTCCTTGAATGCACCGTATTACCTGCTCCATGTGTGTTGTGTCGTTCGGATGTCGTGATCTCTGACTTTATACCGTGCACTGTAAGCAGGGCCATAGTAAGCAGAAATACCGGGCTCGATATCGAAGTCAAATGAACGCTAGCTCGTGCTCTTGAGCGCAGATTGTAGCGTGGTTTGAGTGTATCCGTTGACTGTGTTGGTATTCTTTCAGCCGTTTTCAAATCCGCGTTCTCGTTTCTTTTCGCTGTCTCCGCTATTATTGTTGGTTTCAGCAGAATTTTCCTGCTCATGCTTCTGCGGAGTCTGTTCCTCTGGATCGTCCAATTCCAACGGGATGAGTTGATTCAAAGGGCGACGTATTAGGTGGCCGTTGGGCATCTTCACTTCTGCTTCTCGAGTGCTGCCGTCGCTAGATGCTCGCAAACTCGTAATGCGGCCCATTTTCCATGAATTTCTTGGAAGAATCTGATCGGTTATCAAAACGACGCTGCCAGCTTTGGGTGGGAATCGTGGTACCCTGTTTACCCTTAATCGTAAGTTGGTGCCTCTCTCGTAAACTTGTGAGATACTCTCGACTCCATATTGTCCAAAACCGCTCGGTGAACTTGTGGCTGCTTTTCAAAGCTTCCTCAGCTTGGTGTCGAGTGCGCAGGCGAGCGATTTCTTCACTGGGGAGATATTCTTCGTCGTCAGTTTCTTCCTGTGCGTATTCCAGTGGATACGTTAATATCATATCTCTTTGGATGAAATCTATCGGTCGAAGTATTGGAGTTGCCTCCCATTTCTCTTCCTGATAAGTCAGCGGTCTGGTGTTGAGGCTCCCCTCGATTTCAGTCAGAAGCGTTTCCAGTACCTCTCTTTCCAAGACGTGTCCTTTCGTGACTTTGTAAAGAGATTGTTTGACTGACTTGATAAGTCTCTCATAAAAAGCTCCCTGCCACGGAGCATAGGGTGTTATTGTTTTCCACACAATCCCTTTCGTAGCCATTGTCTGTGCTAGTGAGACGTCATTGGATATTGATGACACAGCTGCTTTCAGAATTTCGTCCCCCAATATGAATGAGGGTCCATTATCCGAGATTATCAGGGATGGCACTCCTCGGCGTGCGAAAAATCGTCTAAGCCCGAGCAAAACTGCTGTTGTAGACATATCGTTGGTAAGCTCGAGATGAAGCAGGCGCGTTGTGGCGCAGGTTATGATAAGTCCATAGACTTTTTTCACAATGCCATTTTCCTTCGCTGAGAGTGGTCCGAAAAAATCGATTCCCACATGTTCAAAAGGTCTTGTTCGTAGTACTCTGCATTGTGGGAGGTCTTGCATTTCAGGATAGGTGAACGGGAGGTTGTTCATCTTTTGACATGGAACGCATGAATGAAGTACGCTCCGTGTTAACTGGACGAAGTTTTGGGATCCAATATTTTCTCTCTGACGTTCGCCATTGTGTGTGCGATGCCGCAATGGAGATCCGTGTGTGCTTGTTGAACTATCATCTTTCGCCAATTCCGTTTTTGTTTCTATGAGAATTGGCTGCCGTGTCTCATAGTTCTAAGCTCGTCTTGTCCAAACGTCCTCTGCATCGAAGAATACCATGGCTATCAGCTTGCAGTTTGAGTTGTTTCAGAACGTTTCTCCTTGAATCTTGGACATGAACTTGTTGGTGATTCCTGATCAACGCTCTCAATGCCATCTCTCTTTCGTTCGCTGTTACGTAAGGCTCCGTTGTCATTTGGGAAAGCTCCGGAATGTGCTGCTCGATTCGAGCACGAAGATTTTTGTCAACCCGAGAGCTGATTCCTTTGATGAAGCGGAGTACATAACGCAATTGAAGTTTGACATGATGACAGACTTCTTGTATCTTTTCCAGCACAGTAGATCTGCTGGATGTTGAGTCCAAAGTTTTGCAGACTGTGACGACGCAATTGTTCACTTCCATTTCCTCGTCTGGTATTGAGAAAAGTCTGCAATCGTCGTTCCATTCTTCCAGTGGCGTGCTAATGAAGTCAGGTCCATTCCACCAGAAATGTTGGGACAGCTCTTCATTCTGTAGGCCTCGAGTGGCACAATCGGCTGGATTCATTGAAGTTCTCACATAGCCAAATTTCGTCGTAACTGGTAAGTCCTTGAGAATCTGCCGGATTTCTTTCCGAGCGGTTGTTGACAAAAATCCCGGCTGACTTCTCTTTGACATTGCTCTTTACCCAGCTCAGTGCGATTTCCGAATCAGTGAGGAATATACAAGGCCATGACTTTGATCTTTTTCCGCATCGCTTTGTATATCGAGTGTGCCAGCCGTGCAGCCATCGTCAGCGCGTGAAACTCCATTTTCGGTATCGTGGGTTTATCTTTCACACGTGGTAGCTTGCATTTTCCAGTCAGCAGTTTGGACCTACCCTCTTGCACTATGTATGCACAGGTAGCCATTGCCTGCGAACTAGCATCTGAGAACACTACAATTGTTGCCGGGTCGTCAAGCTGTGCAACTTTCCGGCGGTAATCGCTTTTCGAATCCATTTGTGTTCTCTTGGATCTTTCTCCACTGAGCTTGATGTTGTTCTGAGAGTGTTGTGTCCCATTCGTATTGTGGTTCCAGAGCTCCTGGAAAAACAACTTCGCATGTAACGTGAGAGGTGTCAGCCATCCATGGGGATCGTATACAGATGCTACTTGTTCCGATACGGACCGCTTTGTGCATTTGCTCTTTGATGGATATGAGCAGCTTACGATAAGTTCATCGTTCTCCGTATCCCACGGGATCCCAAGTACCTTCTGCATTGATTTCTTGCTGAAGTCGATCTCCGGCACTCGGCTGTTAAAGTCTGCATCGTTTGAATGGAATTCTCTCAAGTTCATCCGTAGCTCTCTGAACAGTCCCTTTGCCTTAGTGTAAAGAAGGAAGGCATCTTCGGTGGATTCTGTCGTGAGGATGACGTTGTCCACGTATGTGTTTTCCATCAGCATTTGTGCAAAACGTTGATCTTCGTGAGAACGCATATGATGATGAATAGTTCCGGCTAGAAGGAATGGTGAACAATTCAGGCCAAAAGTGACTCTTGTAAACCTGTATGTGACGATGTTCTGTGGAGTGACCGCTTTCTCTATGTCCTTCAACCATAGGAATCGAGTAACATCGCGGTCTTTATTGTGTAATCGGAATCTGGAGGAAGGCTTTTTCGACATCGCTTATCATCGCTATCGCTCCGATTCGAAAGCGTAGAAGCATGTCGAATATCATGGGGAGCATAACCGGTCCTTGATGCAGCATGTCGTTAAGTGATGGAGAGCCTCGCATGTGCGCTGATGCGTCGAACACCACTCGGAGTTTGGTAGTTTCTTTGTGTGGAGTGACCACGGCTTGGTGAGCAAGGTAATGCACCCGCGTCGAATTCGCTGATGCGTGATCTGTCACCTCTTCGATGATTCCCAGTTGCAGTTGGTTCATGAAAATTTCGTGGTACTGCTGCATGAGCTCCGGGTCCTTCTGAAGTTTTGCAACTGTTGTTTCCAGTCTCCGGAATGACATAGCTTTGTTGTCTGGTAAGTTGAAAATGTCGTCCTTCCAGGGAAGCTGAACGTAGTAACCGTCTTCCTTTTTCTGAATCGTTGCTTCAAACTTTTCTCCAGACCCTATCACTGACGTCTTGACGTTCTCTCGCTGTTGGTCCTAGTGAATTCTTGGACTCCAGATGTCTCAAGTAGAATAAAATTGCTCCCACATTTTCGTGCTGTCACCTTCTGAGTCCATGGCACCTTCGTCTTGTAAGGGTGTGTTGTTTAGCAACACATCATGGACTGACAGTCTCAGTGAGCGTCGGTGAGTGGTGGCTATAGTTGTTGACGTTGCCATTTGCGTGTCCTGCTTCGCACATTCGATGAGTATGTGATCAGCTACCGTCTTGGCGCTAATTTCATCTGCTGTGTGCGACTTGTTCTGAAGCAGAAGGTTGAGTTCCGTACCGCTGCTTGCCGCGCTCTCCGCTTTGCTGACTGCAACTGGTTCGTTGTTATTCGATATTGCTACCTTCCCAATGACGAGGTATCCTAGCTTGGATGGGAGTATCTTTAATCCTGAGGGTAATGTTCGTTGTTGTCCAACGTCCTCCTCCAGTAGTGTGAACAGGTCTGCACATCCTAGTAGGATATCTGCTCGAATCTGTGACGTTTGTAGGACTGATGGAGAGTGTGATGTCGTTCTCGCAAAGGAACTTCTTGTCTTCTGCAGTGAGAGTGCTCTTGTAGATTGGTTCTGTAAGAATATCGATTCTGCTCACGGAGTAGCTGTGGGGATTTCCGTCCCGGTCCCATAGTTTCACAGTGGTTGTGCCGCATTTCTTCTTCATGGGCGTTGTCGAAGCCAAACGTGTTGATCGTGAGATCTGTTTTCTCCGTTTCTGGGAGTTGTAGTCGATCCGCTAAATCTTCACTGATAAAAGAGCGATCTGCTCCTGAAGTCAAGCATAACGTGCACTTTTTCCAGCATTTGTGAGCATGGATTGAATACCAGTGCTTCGCCGACGAGGATCAGTGTGTCCGGTCGTCGTTTGCTGTTTCCGACGTGCAAAACCGTGTCTGTCGTAATCTCCCTGTTGTCTACTTCCTCCGAGGAAACACAATGCGTCCTCGTCGTCACTGTCTTTCGAGGAGATTTCGGTTTCGAATTCTCTTGTGGCTGAGGTCTATTTGAAGACCCTTTTACTTGAGTTATTGGTGTAGGCTTTGTGAATGTAGCCTTTTTACAGATAGAGGTATGATGACCTTTTTCGTTGCACATCCTGCAAGCTCCTTTGCTGCAGTGCGTCGCTTGATGACCGGGCGCCCCGCAATTGCGGCACAGGTTCTTTCTCTTTATGAGTTCAATTCTTTCATCTCGAGATCGAAAATCCTGGCATTGCTTGGGTGAATGTCCCGGCTTATTGCAGTAGAAACAGGTGAATGTGGCTTTCGTTGATTGTGGTGTTCGCCTGTTTGACTCGTTCTTCAGGGGTAGACGTTCGCTTTCTCTTTTCGGCGTGTGTTGGATGATCTTTCTTTCGGCGCGGATATGAGCTCGTGCAGCAGCCAAGAGATCTTCTGTGCTCCATTTTGTGTTCGGAGGAAGCTGTTGTTCTTGACGTAGGACGTGCCGTTGTACTTCTGAGGAGAACTTTGCCGAGCAGTTGCTTTTGCAAGAAGACATTGTCAATGTGCTCTCCTTTTAGCTTCAACTGGCTGACGAGAGATATCAGACGCTCGCAGAGATTTTCTTGATCTCCAAGGCGATCGCTTGTTGCTCTTGCATTCTGCAATTTTTTCAGAAGCTGATCCAGTAGTGCCTGCTTGTCCCCGTATTTTTCGTGGAGATAGGATATCACTGCTGGATATGTTCGTTCGCGACACTTCGTATTGCTTGATGCTCTCCTTTGCTTCTCCTTGCAAGGCGTCGAGCAAGTAATTCATTTTGTAAAGGTCGTCCATGTCGCGTGAATGTACCGAATGATTGAATGCTCCCCAGAATGTCTCCCATTCCCAGATTTTTCCGTCAAATTTCGGGATAGGTATTGGAGGTAATGGGACTTGAGGCGATCCCTGCATCACAGCCTGTGTTTGGACATCCCCGTCGTTGTCGATGTCAAATTCTTCTTTCATTAACTGCGTCAGCCTTGTATTCGCGATGTCGAGAAGATTTTGCGCAGCTTCTCCGTTTCGTATTCACCTTTTCAACGATATCACTCGCTGCAGGTGTTTCCGGGTCGAGGTTGTCTGCTGCTATTGTATACCGCTCCAGAGCCTTTTCTACGCTGTTGACTTCTTTTTCGATGGTCAGCTTCGCTTTCCGAATCTCCTTGAGACGATTCGTTCGATAGCTTTTGTAAGCGGTGGCATCATCCGGTATTTCTTGGGCAGGGATAATGATGCTTTCTTGATCTTTCAGTGCTGTAGAGAGTCGACCGCAAGCCTTCGTTAGGATTCCTTGACGCGATGAGAGCGTTGAAGTCATTTTGGATCTTATGCAGAATTTCTTTCTTGTAGTCAAACGAGGTTTTCCTTCGAACGTTAATGTCAATCCTCTTCTCTTGATGCTGGGGTTGAATCAAAGCGCTGATGTCGAGTTGAAGTTTCCTTCTCCTTGTCCGGTCCGATCAGCGCCGATGCACCATGTAGAAGCTTCCAGCCTAGCCACGCGGGTCTTCTTGTGTCGTAGTCCGGCTCTTCACTCAGATTTATTCCAACAGGCGAACAGCGATACAGCAAACACCAAAGCTAACAGGCTGCGTCTTCACACTGATTATATACCAAGGAGGATATATATAGGATAGATCCGATACGATGATAAGCTATGCAAGAAAAACATAAAGCTTTTTCCCTACGAACAACATTCTTTTGCTACGACCATTTTTCAATGACAGATTCAAAGATTTCAACGACATCAATGAACTATGTAGAAAGAAGTATATATGAACTAACAAATTATGGGCAACGATAACAAAAGGAATAGAGAAATACGAGATTAGTTCTCTATACTCCGCCACGAGAGGTGCTCGGTCGAGGTGAGTGGTCACGATGAGCTCCGTGTTGCCGTTCCTTTTGTTCGTAGCTCTTGCGCATGCGTTCCTTTGTCTTGTCGATCTTACGCAGGAGCTCGCTTTCTTCTTCTCGACTGCGACGTCTACTTTCTTTCAACTCGCGGAGCTTGTCCAAACTCTTCGGGTCTCTTTCGCTCTTCTTCCAAGCATCGTCGATCTTGTAGTTGGCCGATGCTATTTCATGACGAACTACGGTAAGCTTCTTCTGGAACACACGGAGTTCATCCTCCAGTTTCTTCGAATCGTTCGGTCTTTCTTCTTTTCTTCCACGTCTCACACGCTCTTCATTTGGGCTGACTGCCAACGCTCCTTCGCTCGACTCTGCAGGTTTTTCTTCCTTCTTCGGCTCTTCTGATCTCGTCGACGCTTTGATCAAGGTCAGTATTTCGGGAATAGAGTCCACTCTTCTTTCGATTCTGTTTTGCCTCATAGTCAGGCTCTCCATTGCATTTTTAATTTCGGCCTCAAGAAGGATCATCCTGGAGGTAAATGCCGGATATCGTTCAGCAGTGGTTGAAGAGCCCATTTTTTGATTTC